AATGGCGTAAAAACATAAAGTAGTAAGTACTTCGAAGTCACGCAAAAATATATATTTCTGTGGACAACCTGCACATTTAATTGCACGAGGAACCCCACCCACAGTGAAGGTAAACTAAGACTGATTGACAATATTCTCTGAGAAAATATTCTGGGATTCTTTATTTACGTATGGTACTTTTCTGTTCACTGTTTCCTCTTTGAACGTATTACTAGTATTACCGCTTTTAACCCTACCTAGACCGGGCTTTTTTGGACATGGGGGGACCGGGGGGGGGCTCATTTGATCCCCCCCTAAGAACTCGCGAACGGTATGTCCTATGACCACCAAATTTGTTTAGAGAATGGTGTACTAGTAAAAATTATCATATCTACAATTTTTATGTCGTTATGACGTCATATGACGTCATTATGACGTCATTGATGTGATTTTATTGGCCAAAACCGTCTAAATAGGTTTTTCCCTGAAAACTAAATGGTATTCAACATAACTGTACCAAAAGTGTTCATGACAGAATATTATGGTGTACTAAGTCTTATGTTGCCCATAGCAACACCGGTGACGTCACAAAATGACGTCATGCATATTTAAGATATCCGCCATCTTGGATCATCAATTTTGAATTTTCAAAAATAGTTTTTTTTTTCATGATTAAGCCTAAAATACATTGTAAACAAACTAAAGACCTTCATTTAAACCTTTTTTTGGAAAAAGAAATGGAAGTATTGATGAAATTTTAATGAAAATAACCTGTATACACCTGTTCTAATGATATGGTCCGCCATCTTGGATTTTGGCCAATGACGTCATAAAATCACTTTTAGCCACCCCCCACCCCCCGTCTAGGAAGGGTTAAATCATATGCCTTTCAACGTGTAGATTAAGTCCTTAGAACAATTGACTCAGACCGTGACATTTTGGTACTGTAAAGACAAAGTGAGTTAGAATTCAAATTTACGAACAAACGACAGCTTAAAGAGTATTCTAAAGATGAAAAAAAACTACAACTTCGGCTACCTGTTGCATCAGGTAAGTCAACATAACGCCTGGTGTTTCTGGTATCAGCCGCCTCTATGGGCGGTTCTCCCCGGAGCTTAGCCCGCTGCAGCCGCGCCTCTCGAAATGGCGGCGACAGATTCACCGCCTCGGGTTCCTCGTACGTGTCTGACGGCATTTCTATGCCTTCCTGCCGCTTGTTAGTAGCGCCGTTGCCATGGCTGACACGCCTGTGTAGACCACTCTGATGGACAGTAGGTGCCTGGGCCTGTGGCCCGCTGGTTTGATTGTTACCGGACCCCTACACAGGGAACCGGACCGGCTGTGCCTGCTCGTACATTTTTTTACTGCACTGACAAACAACGTTTGAGCAGTCTGGAACTGTCATAGATGTATGAATATTAAAAATGATATCGCGATTAGTCTGAAGAAGTGATCTTGTCTTTGCCCATATATGGAAAGACACACGAGTCGTGACGCAGTGCGAAAGGCATTATGTTTTTTAACAAGCCGCCAGACGTCAGAATAAAGGCGTCAACCTAGGAAAGGAGGGAACATATGTCAAAGTTAAACTTTCCATGCTACAAGAATAAACAAATGGTACGCAGAGAATATAAAATAATAACCGGTTAGAAAAGTTGAAACTTGATGTAGTAGTTTCACTTAGACTAGTGCTTTTCTCTTATTGTAACTCATACCAATTATTATCATTATCATTATTGCTCTGTATTTATAATTAACATTACTTAATTTCATAGTCATTAACTTATACTGTACATTATTTGATCATCCTTATTGTATTATTTCCATTTTCTATTGTATTATTTCAATTTATTGATTATATTTAATTTGCATAGTTTAGCAATGGATAAGCACGTCCCAACCAAAACAGTTAATAATAATAACTCTTCACCCTGGATTAACAACAAGGTTAGGAAAATACACAGGAAGAAACAACGTGCCTTTAACACCTATCGTAAAAACCCAACTACAGAGTCGTTAAACAAGTTTCGCACTCTTCGTAAACAAGCAAAGAAGACAACCAGGAAAAATTACCGTAAATATGTAAATTCAATTTGTACCGACTCCCCTAAAAAATTTTGGTCGCACATAAAACACTTGAAACAGGAAGCAACTGGTATCCCTAGCCTTAAACTAAGAGATAAATTAGAATCAGACAACAGAATCAAAGCAAACATACTTAACTCCCAATTTAGTTCTGTCTTTACTGAGGAAAATGAACAACTCCCCCACCTCCCCCGCAGTACCATTCCCTCAATACCAGAATTCAGCATTAATACTAACGGAGTTATCAAACTCCTGAGTGAACTGAATCCACACAAAGCTAGTGGACCAGACGGCCTTGATATGTATTCTATCTTAACTGAAAACCAACATGGTTTTAGGAAGAAACATTCGTGTGAGACTCAACTTGTCCAAACCACAAATGACTTAGCCCTTTCCTTAGATTCCAAATCACAAACTGATCTAATCATAACTGATTTCGCCAAAGCCTTCGATAAGGTTCCCCATAACCGTCTTCTCTTAAAACTACATAATTACGGTATCCGAGGCAAACTCCTCCAGTGGATTTCTAACTTCCTAAAAAAACGTAAACAAAGGGTGGTAGTTGGGGGGGAACATTCAGATTGGGCAGAAGTAGTTTCTGGAGTACCCCAAGGCACCGTACTAGGGCCTTTATTGTTCCTAGTATACATAAATGATCTGGCTGATAACCTTAACTCTAACATCAGGCTTTTCGCCGACGACTGTGTCATTTACAGAGAAATAAATAACGACAATGACCATATCCTACTACAAGATGATATAAACATGGTTAGACGCATGGCAGTGCAATTGGCAAATGGAACTACACCCTGATAAGTGCTATGTCATGCGCTACACCCATAAACGCAAAACTAAAGTATTTGACTACAAACTAGGGAGCCATACACTAGCTGAGGCTAATAATCACAAGTACCTAGGGGTTATCTTAAACAACAAACTTTCTTGGACTGAACACATCCATCATATTACTTCCAAAGCAAATAAATCATTAGGTTTTATTAAACGCAATCTCTATAGCTGTCCTAAATCAGTTAAGATGAATGCATACACTAGTTTAGTCAGACCCCATCTTGAATACGCTAGCGCTGCATGGGATCCGTACTACAAGGAACATATTCACAAGTTAGAATCGGTCCAGAAAAGAGCGGCCAGATTTGTTTCTAATACCTATGATACTTATGCTAGCACTACCAAATTGGTCACAGATTTAGGGTGGGACACATTAAAGGACAGACGCACAGCAAGTAGACTCACATTACTTCAGAAAGCAAGACACTCAAAACAGCCCTTCCGGTCAAAACCTTGTTGACACCTATCCCGCGCCAATCGCGACACTTCAACTCCAACTCATACAAACCTCTAACGTTTCACAAAGACTGCTACAAATATTCATATTTTCCACAAACTGTCAGAGATTGGAACATTTTGCCCCAAGAGATATCTGATACTGCGGAACCCACGAAGTTCAACGCTGCAGTACTACAACACCTGAGGAAGCAGCAATAACGCATCGCACAGCTCCCCTGCACGTTTTACCCCAATCTAGGGGTGTTGTGCAGTACCTGAACAAGACAAGACAAGAGGAGGAGGGCCTAGTATAAGCATGTCATGCTTCTCCCCTCCTCCTGCACCTGTTTTATCCTTGTTTTGTATTTTATTATTGTCTGTTTTGTTAATGTGCAAACAATCAAATCAAATCAATGAGTCTGAATGAAAAATAAACTTATGTGAGACATCAAACTTATTTATTTTTGTCACCAAGTATCCAAATCTCCGCCTCAAATAGACGTTAAAAAGTGAGCAGACTGGGCTGAGAAAAGCTGGTAGACATTCTCTTGACTTCCTTTTGAGATATTCGACTCAGGTATGAAGTTTAAACTTCTTGCCAATCACCCCCAGTTTCCATCATGCACTATGCCTTGGGATCTTTGTTTTCGGTCAGAGAACTGTGGTTAGGATGGTATGACCAAGGAGCTTCAAATAAGACCAGGGTGCAGCGTTTTGCTGACCTATCACCGAAAGGGAGCCAGCCATTTTCCGAAACGACCCCTGAGATGTTTTCTACATTTGTAAGCATTCGGTTGTAGCAGTAATTTAGTAGCCAAATTCATCAGTAGCCGACCTTGCTGACTTTTATCTGCGCCAACCTAACCATGTAACCACGGTTTTGGGACGACTGGCTAGTGTTGGGGGGTGGCGCAAATTTGTGAATATGTGACATAAACTTTCAACAATCTTTTTTGTCAAATGCTTTGCAACTCATTCGAAGTCTTCATCATTCATCAACTTTCTTATCCAAGACCGTCTGGCGCGTGCGTGTAATTATTTCTTTTCGACTGTGTACATAAACATTGTGTAATTTATTGGTATTTTTCAAATCCTTCATAAACCACCCGTCTTAGATAATGTTTTTAAGTAGAATAATAAATATCCTAAATATACTATACAAACTTTTCAGCGGTCTTCAGTCTGCTTTGGGTCCTGTGAGCACCTACTGTCGACCAGACTGTTCTACACGGGCGACGATTTGTGATATGTATACATGTACACTTTATAAAACCATTGTGCAGCAACGCCGCCATACATGAAAAGGGGGAATTGCAACACAGGTTATCAACATCATGCGAGTGCTCAGAATAGCGTCAAATTTGTAATCGTATTTTATTCCCGGAAATATCCCTGGGGATATCTCTTAACTGCGCCTGTATATTGAAGGACAAACGTGTTGTATTCGATTTTCTATTAAATGTAAATGATGATTTCTTACTCCCAACTATCTTCTTTATTTATGTTTATCCAAAGCTACTTTGGGTAAATTTGTGGATGTAGTCAATATTCTTTTCTCAACTTATTTCCGAATAATGATTAGCAGCTTCATATTTCCTTGTTGTGGTCCATTAGGTTTGTAATTTTCCCCTCCCCGCTTTTTTTCACCCGTTACAAACACCATTTTCACTTACAAGTGGAACATGGTGGCCACCATGTTGCACTTATAAGTGGGCCAGGAGACGTCTCCTGGCTCATGAGAGACACCATTTTCACTTAGATCTGGATGGAAGAGATGGTCTCTGGCCATGCAGGAACGGCACAGATACAGTAACAACGCTCGCGAGATTTTGCGAGCCTGGACACGAGATCGCGTGGAGAGAGCCGGGATGTGTGCCGTGGCGTGGGTCGGGGCTCAGTGACTTTCGGATATCTAGTCGCGTCGTTGGACGGTAGCACTCTCTTTCAACTCCATGGCGAGGTAAATCATTTCTAGTTTAGATATGTACAGTTCCTCGTCAATTGCACCCTACGCCTATTGCGTGAAGAGAGTGCGCTTCGGCCATATGCTTGCCGGCCGAAGGGGAGGGGGCGACACACATATTATGGCAAGCTCCTGCCTCATGTATTAAACGTTCATTCAGATCATATATGAATAAAAAAATAAGAGGTCGCTTTGTCAGTCAAACTGGAGTACGTGGCGTACCACGTAACGGACACAGAGGATCGAAATTTTCGACTTTTCGACTTTCCCGAGCATGAATTATATTCCAAGTAAGCGTTAGGAATATACCATTTTTTCCAAGGAATTTTCCGGGGTTTCTCTTTTTAGCGAACGCCCAGGAATTGTCGCACGAATCTTAATTTTTGTGGTCATGTCCAGAGTATGCTCCCACCGTGTTCCTACCAAATTTGAAGCTAATCCATCGAGCTGGACTTAAATAAAACGAAATTTACTGGGTTTTTCCTCTTCTTAGCGAATACCCACTTCCGGGTTTGAAGCGAATGCCCACTACTCCTTGCAAAATATCGGCCCTCACGAAACGCTGGCAAAATTTACCTCCACAAACATGTTCATATAGGACTGCCCTGAATTTCTGCTAAGTTTCTGTGCTTTACAAGCTTTTAAAGTACCCTTTTTTCGGCAAAATGTGCGCTGCGACGACTTCGCCGCCTCGGTGTTTACAAAATGGGCGACGGCCGCGGGTTTGCGAAAAACACAGTCCAGTCCAATCGGTGGAAAAAGCAGCTTAGTCCGATTTGGCGGTGGTAAAAGCAGTTTGCATATGCACCCTTTGTCCAACAGTTTTGGTGGATCGCAAGGAAATTGACATAAGCTTTATAGACATATCTTTCTGGTAGTGTTTGCTTAAAAGGACATTTAGTATTTTTATAAGTGTCTGTGCAGTATTTTTTTATTTTTATTTGTGCGACAATTCCTGGGCGTTCGTGGGCGTTTGCTAAAAAGAGAAACCAATTTTCTAGCATTTTCAACTTACAGTCACAAATTTTATAATTGGAAAATTGACTTATCGGGCTGTTTACCTGTTCCTTCCGGTGGTCAAAAGCCCAGTATGCTCGCATCGGGGAAGTTGAGCCCGAGGGGAGTACTATAACATACATAATTTGAATAAATAAGGAGGAATTTGCTTTGTAGCTTTGTATCAGCATGGCATCAATTTGGCATCCTTAATGTGGGGTACAGAGAATGCCTTATGCAATTGCAAATGTAAAGGCCCTGTTCACATAAATAGTTTCCAAATAATTCAAACAGTACTAGTACTATTGGTTTACAGCAATGATAGGGTCGAGGTAGCGAACCAGTACAGAAGTGACCACGAAAACAGTGCAGACAAAAAGTACTGCAAAAAAAAAAAGGAATTACATTAGCTATCAATTCATTTTCATTCACACCTAATATTACATGTACACTTAGTTTACCTCAATCTGGTTATCTGATAATGATTTGTTTATTCTTGATACCGATCATAGGAGATGTAATACTTTTATTGTTGACAGCTCAGGTATTATAGCCTGGTATCCAGCCTTGTTAGCTTTAGTCCGCTTTAGTCCGCTACCCAAGATCCGCTCCCCGCCCCGTTGGGTAGCGGGGACTAAAGCTAACAAGGCTGGATACCAGGCTACAGGTATTATACCAATTTTTATACAATTCTTTATTTGGTTACAGTAAACACCAAGAGGTGGATAGGATCTTTTCCATTCCATTTCCATATTGATTTTGGCTGTTCATATTCAGAAATCAATCTGAATTAATTATTCATATGCCTCTGACTAAATCAAATCAAAGATATTTTGCTTAAAGTGAACAGGGCATGACTTTAAATTCAAGAGGGTTGTCGCAGGTTTATTAATATACATAATTTGACACATGTGGCGTGATGCAGAAAACCACTATAAAGTATAAGGATATGTCCAAATCATAATGTTTGTCTATATCGACTCCAGTTCTACATCTACACATGTAATTGTATACTATATGTATGGGCTTTAACAGTTCACTACACAGTAACCGGAGGTTTTAGTCACGCAGAGAACCAAAACAACAAATACATTCAGATACTATTTGTACAATCTTTGTAAACTTTTATTGCATTCAATTTGCTACAGTTTCTCCAAGCGGAAGAGGACAAAGAAGTCAGAATTCTATTGGCCAGGAGTAAAAGTGAACTATCATGATGATGATGGCAGGAAGAGGTCCTACTGGATGGAGATTAATCCTGCAGTCACATCCACAGATACGCCCACCACATCTACAGCAACAGACCAACACTTAGCCCAGCCAGAGGCTCCTGAGATACCAGTACCAGTACAACCATCACTCTACACCCAAAACAAGGAAGCAGTAAAAGAGTCATGGTCAGAGAAAAGGGACGACCTTATACACATAGCTATTCAGTCAGCCAAGCCGCCAACTACCACATGCTATCTATGTGAAGAGGAAGTACCGGTACTCACAGCCCCACTGATCTTTTGCAAGGATTGCAGTCCAGTTGGGGTGTTCTGTTTGGCATGTTTCCAGAAGACTCATAAAAGCCCATCACTTCACTGTGCTGAAGTGTGGAAGGTGTGTTGGAAATTTGGAATAAAATTGTTGTATAATATTATAAGAATGCTTTGATTAAATCATATGGGGATATCATCCACATGCATACATGTATTGGCTATGGTATGCCCAGTCAGTTTGTTGCATGTTCTAGCTGGCTTCTGTAGTCTGTTACATATACTTCCTTGGGTTTTTTGTGACCTTATTCCTTTAGATATTTACAGTAACTGTATAATATATATTTACCGTTGCCTTTAGTGACATTAGCTTTAGAAAGATAACATGTGATGTGACAATATGCTATAATACTCAACAAGGTTGTCTTTAGGCTGTTTGAGCGTACTATGCCTCTACACTATTTGGACCCCTTATGCTGTGGTTTAGCCCCACACCCACTGTCTTTCAACCTGTGTGGGGGTGTTTTATTGCGAGAACATTGACACTTCATAATTCTTTTAAAGACTTAAAAGTTGACGTTAAAAGTTAATATAACAAAAATATTGTCCCCCAATAAGTAGTACTATGGGGGTATAATTTCCATAGTACCAGACCCCCACTCTCTGTTTAGGACACAATGCAAATACTGTGGTACATTGTTGTCCATTTACTGTATACCAGACCCCTAGTGAAATTATTTTGGTGAGAACCCTGTTGAGCTACTACCAGTACTAGGATATAGAATCAACTTTTTATGTCAAATAAAACAGAATGCATCTGTACATTTTCCAGGATGGTTGTTTACAGCCATATGTCTGCAGCAGCAGCAGTAGACAACTGATCATGCCTCACCAGATGAACTGCTACAGTTCCTCATTAAAATCCATGAGGGTGTTTGATCAAAATGGTGAGTAGTGTACTTGACCATGTTTCAATATTTCTTATCCTTGAAATTATGCCTTCATTACAGCTATTCCATAAGAATTGCAATAGATGGAAGCTTGTTTTGCCCATTGTCTGGCATTTCTAAACACCAGTACTGTTTTTGAGAAAATCCAGCATGTATGGCAGACTAGAAGATCTAATTTGATAGCAGGATTTATATATTTTATTAGCTCTGGAGAGTGTTACCCTCAATGTTGCAAAATATTAAAATATTTAAATTACTATAATATAATATTGTGAACATTTTGTCTTGCTTTGTAATTTCCTGCAGGCCGCCTCCAATACTTAGATGTTGCTGTGTGCCCATGCGAAACTGAGTTGGAGACATTGCTGAAACTGGGGCTGTGGGGAGCAACACCTACAAAGCCACAGACTGCATTCTCAGTTTCCCTCCTTGAATGGTTGGTCTGGCTGAGCAGGGAAGCACAAGTGTCAACAGAAGCTTTCTGCAGGGCAGTTAGGTGGAAAAACAACTTGACACTGGATGAGGTAAACTCTGGTCATTTGCTTAAAACTGATGTGATGTCATGAAAAAAATAAAATAACAAGTGTGGTCTTTTTCTTCCAGAAATGCACAATAGCTTTATTAATACCAGTAATTTAACATGTTTAATACTCAGGGCTCAAAATTCATTTTTTGGGAATAGGTGCACTCGTGTACCTAACCTAAAAAATCTTACTACTCCTCTTCTGAGCTTGAAACCGAAATGGGAGCTAACTCCAAAATCTTAAACAAGTACTACTAGATTTTATTAATTTTCTTACAAGAATGCCAATTTTCTGACAAGAATGCCAAGAATATCCTGTATACTATAATACATTTGACATGTAAAAAATACCTACATAAATAGTTTACAGAAAACAAATGGGTGCACAGCTCCAAATTTGGGTGCATGCACTCAGTATTGCACTCAGTATTTCGAGCCCTGCTACTACAATGTATTTTTGAATGTCACATATCTTATTGTCTGAATGTTAGAGCTCTTCAGCATAACACACTTAGATACATGACACACCAGGGTTTTCGCTGCAAGTGATATACCATAACAGGAAGTTATTGACTTTCAAAATGTGTATTCACACTAAAATGAAGAATGGAATGTGGTTGATCTGCTAATAAACTATAGGCAAGAGTTAACATGTAATATGCATGTAATCAAGCAGTAACAACATTTTTGCTATATCACACATGTTTCCTGCATTGTGTCATAGTAAAAATTGTTAACTAACTGTGCAACAGGGTACCAATTTATTTATCTCCATAAATCATGGACCATGTGACTTTATTTATCAAGTAAAATACCTTTTTAATCAAGCAATACTCAGTCCTTTCTCTTTGTCTCTTTTGACAGGCGAATTCTCTCCACCGGGCCCTTACCGGAGAATGCATTGCAGAGTTCTGCCACTTCCGGCACAGGCTGCAAAGCATGAAAGACTTGAGTGTTTCACTTGATGGTGGAAGCAGCTGCCCCGCCTGTCCCAAGGTTATATTTCCTGCTTTTTCCCAATTGCTCATTTCTAGATGTAACATAAAGTCTCAGTAATGGAGCTGCTTGATATAGTTTATTTAGTTTTTAAAAACACAAGGCATCTGTGTAAGGAGTGACTTGGTGGACAGTGGAAGGTAGCTTGGTGGATGTTTGATCCTTTGCATCTTCCCAAAACTCATCCTGACCCCGAAACCCATTCTGACTTTGGACTTACAGTTCCTGTAAGATTGTTGATAAGCCACATACTCTGTACATCTCTTCCTCTATACTAAAGATAGCTGACTATAAAATTTTTCAATTATTTCTCCTTCTTTGCATTCCTAATTTCTTTAAATGTTTTGGCAAAAATTTTTGTAGACTATGAAAGCACATTAACGATAAACATTGATCTAAAATATCTTTTCTTCTTCAGAATGATGGGGAACAGATCATCGCCATTGATGGAAATTTTGGCCTGGTCAGAAAGGCAAGCTCTGGAGTAAGCTCTGCACCTCCCCTGCATGGAGAGTCAATGTTCCTTGACGACGAGGAATTGAAAGAGTTCCTATCGACATACCATGATCAAGAGAAGCCATCTGAGGTAAGAATCTCTCTCAAATTCATTTAGGTATAGTGGTAGCATGACATACATGTAGTATCCCTTCTTTTGTTTCCCTTTGTAAATACAGACCAAATAAACTTATGAAAGTTAGCCCCAATATAAAGCATTTAAGGATGTTGACTGCATATATGATTAAACACAGATTATAGTATGCCCCATTTTTTATGGACAAAAGTTGATGTGCGTGCAGATGCCATCCATATGATCAAGTCAGCCTGGCCTTATGTGGAGAACAGAGGAAAATTAATTGGAAAATAAAAGTGCTGTTAGCCGCCATAGCCCAATCAAGCCAGTCTTTGTTCACATTAAAACATTGGCTGTCTGACCATTGACCATGAAGTGGCCATAAAATGACCATGATTCTATTACGTGCATTATTATTCATTTTATGAACAAATAAACATATATCAAGCCCCAGTTAAAAATGTATCCGTTTTTATCTGCTCTGCAGGCTTTTATATTTCCCAAAAAATTATAATTGATTGTGGATTACACCATTTCTGTCCTTTTCTTTTACATCAGGACTGTAGCCACTTTAAAGCTGGACAGTGCCTACGCTCCAAGACTCAACAACAAAAGCTGGATATCACCGGGGTCTTTGGTAGTGTCTGTCGGCACAACATCCCACAGAAGTTTCTGAATATGTTCCATGGAGAACGGTGGGTGTAGTGAACTTTTGTATTAATATAACATCAGATTCTGATGATGCTATTACAGTCAAAGCTTTCATTTGGAAATTTTGGGTTGACTAATGATTTTAGCCTCCTTGGTTTAACAGAACCTAAGTAGAGCTCCATAGCATATGTTTTACGTAGCACCATTTGCTTCATAGCATTTCTTGCATTAATTAAGAAACAATTTTGGTCATTACTTTCATTTACATTTATTTTGACATACTGCAAGGAATATTGGGACATTTGATTTGACTTGTGATTCAGGTAGCTGTTTTTTAATCATCTTGTCTTCTTTATCATTGTCAGCTTTGGCTATCCAGTTTATCTAATCAGAAGCCTTCTGAGGGAGGCCAGTCCGCAGAACATCCGTCTGAAAATAATCTATGATGTCGCATGCTCGCTGGAAGCACACCTTAGACGTGTAAGTTGTTCTGAACTGTATTACATGGAAGAAGATGACATGCATGAGACATAGAATTCAACTTTTACAATGTTTTGCTTTTTGTTTTGTTTAAGTACACTTCCTGAATGTCACTACCTTGCCCTTGTGCTACCTCTTTAGATTTAACTCTTTAAGGGAGAGAATATTTTCAACAGATGGTGATGAAATTGATAAATGCAGCACGTTTTGCTTTTTCTGGGTAGTTAAGAATTTTCTAGTGAGCCTCATTACACCATAAAGAGAGTACTTGTGGGCTTTATTATGCTATTACCATGTAAGACAGAAGTCTTTCTTTTCCAGAATGCAGGCCGGGAAGGGATGCACCAACAGCTGAGCCAAGATATGCTGCAACAGCTGAGTCTGGCCGTAGATGTCTTCCATTCTTATGGCCACAAAGCTCTATGCCAGGTAACTTACATATCTTCTATGGTCAATTTTGATTTCATGCAAGTTTAAATAGGAAATGGAGATAAAGGAGTTCTGTCTTTTGACATTGAATATTATTTTCTCTTTCAGTTTGAAGGTTCTTATTAGGAATTTTCATGCGCTATTTCAGGTCAAATACAACACCCGGAGACTTGAGGGATTTGGCCTAACTGATGGTGAGGGGGTAGAAGTGTTGTGGTCATACCTGCGTAGGTTCGCTAAAATCACCAAAGAGATGACACCAGCTCACAGGGTGGAGAAGTTAAGCGAGGCACTGAGCCATTACGCCATGCGGAAAGCCATAGACATTGGTGTGTTGTCCCTCTTTATGTTCTATTTCAGAGAAATACTTACTGTACATTTATTGTATCAGATAAACCTACTTCAAGATATTCCTTTTCTTTTCACGGGTAATATATATTATACTTGGATACTTAGTAGTCTGCACTCTTTGTCAATATCTAGATACTAATAGGTTACAATGTAAAGTTGGAAATATGACCCTATACCTGCACCACATGCATGTGTCCAAGTGGATGCAATTTTAAGATTACTTGCAACTTTTTGCAAGACTTAGGGTTTTTGCTGAAACTGATCTTGTGTTGAAAATACAGTGGACTATATGCTTATATGTAATTATACTAATGTGCAATAGAAAACGTTTGGCAACTAAGCCACCTTCAAAAGATTGATATTTTTTATGTGTTCTAGGTTTGCATGTCCTGCTAATAGGATGATATCATAGATGATATGCAGAAATTGGCAAACTGTAACAATCTCAAATCTCAAGCGCCACCAAGGTTTTAAAAGATTTTGAGATCTGTAGTGAAAATTCTATACCTATTTTGGTTGCTTACATGTACATGTAACTTGAATATTGCCATTGTCTTTCAGAGGTTACTCTTAAAGAGAAGATGAAGACTGCCAATGCAACAGAAAAACTTGCTGAAGAAAATCACAAAGAAGCTTTGAGTCATGCAGGAGGTAAGAAAAAGACAAATACTATGTCCTTTTCTTTGTTAAAACACTCTCAGCTGATGTACCCTACTAAAAATCCTTTTTTAGCATTGTCAACAGTGCTAGCAAAGCAGTTCATTCTTCCCACCATCCCAGTTATCAAACTATAAATTAACTAGTGTAATGTAGGGAGAGAGAGCAGAGTGCAGTAGAGTAACCTTTATTCAAACTGGATAGCCCTGTCAGCCATCTATGAACTGACCTTCCCAAAGGTCAATGAGGGTTGGCAATAGATGTTTGGACTAGACTAACCTGTGTTTTACTGTATATGACTACTAAACTAACAGGGTTGTTTTTCTCATTTGGGTACTAAGTATAACATGCATTTATTTTGTATATCTGTCCATTCAGTGCTATTCAACTATTGTGCTTGTATCTGCCACAATATGTTAAGCATTTTCTATCCCTTTTACAAGATTAATACTTACATCCCAAATACTTTAGTTCCTGTTTCAGTGGACGACATCAAAAGGTGGCAGAAGATGGAGAAGGAAGTGATGTCAAAGAAGGAACGAACATCAAGTGAGTAAAAAGCTGTAATTGGATTGTTTACACCAAAAAGTTGCAGCCTACGAAACCAGTTGGCCATGGAACTGTCTCATGTATATGACAAGTAACATACAATGTAAATGTATACCATAATTTATCGCTAAGTATGTTTATGTAAAAGTGCTCTTTTTTTCTTTTAGCATCAACATGCAAGTGGAAGAAAGAGTATGCAGGAAAGCGGATGAGGCATCAGGCATTGGGGTAGGCTATATTTCTAGTGCTCTTGTGTATTGCTTCACATTAGACAGCCAAATATATTTACCTACACAAATTTGTCAGTCATGTATAAGTAGATATTTGCAAACTGAAGCTTCAAAAGGCTGACCCACAGGACAGAATCAGCTGGAGAGCAGCAATCAGGCCAGGGCAACATTCCACTTCCAACCCTCGAGCAATGAGGACCATGAGACATTAAACGGATAGTGAGTGTATGTGAGTATACTAAGAATTAAGAAGTACAATCTTTTGTACCTGCAGGGAGAAAATCCAAGAATGCCAGGATGAGTCTGCACTTGCAGTTCACCTTGCAGCTTTCACTAAGTGAGTATAAGTTATGATATTAGACTTGAATATCTTGTAACCCTTCCTTCTGAGACAATCTTTGGCAATTTGTTGTGTAATTGTTATTGATTTACCGGTATATGTTTTACATCAATGAAATATCTTAAAGAGAAACAATGAGGAGCAGTTGATAAATCCATATACATATGATATTTCTAGTGATTGCATTCATCTGATTTCACGGTTAATTCAAGTCCAGTCATAGCACTGCAGGCATGGATATGTGCATTGTGGAATGAAATGTAAAGCAAGTCAAACTAGGTGCATGATGCTTGAGACCACCTGTAATTCTTTTCATAAATAATGCCTACCAACTTCTTAAATAACCTCTGAAAGACATTTGACTTGAACAAAACTAAATATTATTGTGTAACAGGTTGGAATCCACCCTGAAGTCCATTGAAGATAAACATCGCATAGCAAGATGGCAGCAGACCGATCCTGAATTCATTGCTGCACTGACAGACCTCGACAGTGAAGAAAGAAGGCAGCATCTTGCAACCATTCAGAGTGTCTCTTGCCAGAGGTCATTTCTGATCTCTTTAAAAGGGCGTTACCCAGGTCAGTGCCTGACATTTTTTTAATGTCTTTTTGTTAAAGTCTTTGAACCAAAGACTGGCAAATGAACAACATAACTTTGCCTAATTTCCATCAAAATATGCATGACAATGGCAACTTGTATATATGATGCTGGTACAGAAATATCTCGTTAGGTCTGTTTCTGTATCTGTATAGCCGGTATAACCATCCTTCGGCGTAACACACCAGATTCTGTGTCAGCTGGTATAACCGTCCTTTGGCTTAACCCTTAAGCTCTGTGTCTGCATAGCCGGTATAGCCACCCTTTGGCATAACACACCAGCTTCTGTATCTGTATAGCCGGTATAACCGCCCTTCGGCGTAACACACCAGCTTCTGTATCTGTATAGCCAGTATAACCTCCCCTCGGCATAACACATCAGCTTCTGTATCTGTATAGCCGGTATAACCGCCCTTCGGCGTAACACACCAGCTTCTGTATCTGTATAGCCGGTATAACCGCCCTTCGGCGTAACACACTAGCTTCTGTATCTGTATAGCCAGCATAACCATCCTTCGGCAGTAACCACAATTTCATTCTTTTCAGATGGACAAGCTATTGCATTGAAGCTGTCAAGGCAGATAACATCTGCCAGCAACAGCTATCAAAAGCCATTGAAGCTTACAACACTATACCCTGGAGTCCACAATCTGCAGAATTTCCATCATCACTGCACTTTTCGGAGGCCAGTGACCCTACATGGTCCACTTACCAGATGCTGGGTCCATCCATGGTATTGTAGATTTCTCTGAATAAATATCTTAATATGGCATGTACCAGTTATTTTTGCAGAAATGGTGTCATGTTTACAACAATTAAATATATCGAGTTTGTTCTACACATAGTATCAAATAGCAGATACTATTGGCTTCAACTGGGGATGGTCTTAGGAAATCATGGGCCATTTTGAGACTTGAAAAGCACCTTTGCTATGTTTGTAGAGATATTGGTTTAACAATTTGCAGCTTGAACAATTTCATTTGCAAATCGCTTTTTAGCGTGTTTAGTAATTTGTTCTACTTTCATGACCACCTAGATTTGAGGGATATGACAATTTTTTTTGTCAAACTTTTTTTTATTTGCACATGCGCATTATGGGGTTCCCAGAGGATGTCATCCATATACTTAGTCAAATCAACATAGCCTTAGATATCATGGGGACATTTTGATAGTAAGGTTGGGAGTTTGTGTGTTTGTCATCAAATAGCCTTTCACACTCAAAATTGCTGTCAAATTATTTTAGCAATACCTAGCAACACTTAAATTATCGGGCCCCTTTTAACTCCTTGATTCAAGAGTTCCAAACTTAATTTGCAGTTGGTCTATATGTCTTGACTCTTCTTTCAACAGAGCGAACCAGGACTGCCCTACAGCCTGAAAAGAAAGCCATCGATGCTATCAACATGAAAGAAAGAGCTGTGGAAGAGAGGCAACTGATAAAGAAAGAAATGGGGTCAGGGGTTTGGGACCCATTTCATCGAGGAGCACGACCACACAGCAGAAGCTGTGAGGCACTGCCAGGAGCGTGTCGGTATGGAAGCAGAGCAGGCTATGCTCTTACAACACATGATAAGGCTTGAGAAGAGACTGTTCGAAATGCATGAGATATTCAAACAGTACATAGCTCTACCTGATCCTCCTTCCAGTCACATACCTATGTATTCTCGATCTCGTCAGGCCTTAGAACGCTCTGAAGCTGAGTACAACAGCCTTGATAATGACCTAGAATATTTCAGTGAAGAAGATGAGTATGGGGGGGAGGGGGTCTTAAAGTGCCTGTATGCATAGTGTAAATCTTTGTTGAGTTACACTCTTTTTGATGCAGAAGATGAATATGTTGCATAATATATAAAATATAATGGGAGTACTTTCTTTACCACAGATACTACATGTATGTTGATAGCAGTGTTATTCAGATCTTATTAAAGCTTTTTTTTTAGATATTGCCAAACAATAGAAAGTGTATCTGTGCATAGTCTTAGTGTATGCCTAATTTCCTGTGCATGCTATACACTTAGCTGGCCTGTTGTTTTTTCATTCAGGTAAGCTTGCAGATTTGTTGACAGCAGGCATGACCAATAACACATGACTTGTGTTAGAGTTACTGTATCTGTATAGTTTCTCTTGTATGAAGCAGGAGATGGACCTGTTTATACACCACTGCTGTCTGTCTAGAATTGACTTTAGTTGGTCAAACAGAAGACTACTTTATCCCTCTATTACTACTACTTCAGACTCTAGCACTTGAAACAAAATGATTCAAATGGATTGAAATGGGTATCCTAATGAATTACTGAAATACTGTATACTGTGAAATACTTTTAAGTATGCTTCTCCAATAGAAATACCATATATCAACACCTGTTAATTGTCTGAAATGGCTTATCTGAGTATGTACATCTTTTTTTATTTCAATAATAATGTTCGTTGAGGTATGGATGATGTGCGAATGTGAATAAACTGAAAGTTTCTTTGTGTGGATCTGTTTGTGTGTAGAATATCTTTATTTCAAACCAGTTCTGGTGGAAAGCACATTTCAACAATGTGCCCTTTGTGTCAAGGCCACCAGTCACTCTGTCATGTCTTAAATGCCTGTCCAGTGGCACTGATGGCCAAAATACACTTAGCGCTAGTCTGGTTAAGGAATTGTAAGCCATAAGGAGCAATCTGATTCCTGAGCTGAATTCACAGAACCCCCAGACACCTTGCCCACCTGACATCACCACAACTCAGCAAATCAGACATCGACTGCTCTTAAACCATTAGTCTTGGTGAAAACACCATTATTTTTGTGTGCGGAATTTGGATATCGCGATTAAGGGCAAAACGCAATTTTTTGTACGAAATTTCGATATCGCGAAATGATGACCAAATTCCTCAAACCAACTTCATAGGATTCCGGACACTCCCCTAATGCCAAATATGCTTCTTGTTTCTCAAAATAACCCAATTTCAGCAATTAAGGGCAAAATGTCATTTTTCGTACAAAATTTCGATATCGCGAAACGATGACCAAATTCCTCCAAACCAACTTCATGGGATTCCGGACACTCCCCTAATGCCAAATATGCTTCTTGTTTCTCAAAATAACCCAATTTCAGCAATTAAGGGCAAAACGTCATTTTTCGTACAAAATTTCGATATCGCGAAACGATGACCAAATTCCTCCAAACCAACTTCATAGGATTCCGGACACTCCCCTAATGCCAAATATGCTTCTTGTTTCTCAAAATAACCCAATTTCAGCAATTAAGGGCAAAACGTCATTTTTCGTACAAAATTTCGATATCGCGAAACGATGACCAAAATTCCTCCAAACCAACTTTAAACGATTCTGGGCACTTCCCTGTGTCACCTGATACAAATGTACCATATATGAATCTTGGTAGCATAGTTTTGTCAATTCATAAAAAAATGTGATACTGGTACAATTGGTTCCTTGCAATTGACTTCTGCGATATGCATGTGATTTATGGTATGTAATACTAGTAGCATAATATGTTCTCCTGAGGCCAAAACAGTTTTGTTCGGGTAGGAATGAGATACCGTCCCAAAGATCATGACCAATATCATTGAACTAACTTTATGGTAGGCAGAATGACACCTACATTCACAATATTAGTTCCTTACCTTGTTTGTCTTAGATGCCTATCTGAGGCAAAAAATTCGATTTAGTCGGCAAAAACTTAAATGATAATAACTCAACAAAGAAATATGGATTCGGCATGGAAATTTCCGTATCGAATATACAAGCATCCACAAATTAATTAGTCAATTTTGAAAGAAAAGTGTTGAATTCTAAGCAATCTATGAACTAGATCCGCTGTTGTGGCAAGACGTTGTTCAAACACTATTGACGATTCTAGGTCGCATCTCACAGAACTGCGCTTTCCTTCATAAAACAAGAAGGAGTTCATATATCGCCATGAAACTTGCACAACACTAGGCTGATATACTGATCTGGCTGTGGTTTTGATAGATTTGATCTTTCTTTATCTTTTGTTGACTTATAGGGAATTCACATGTTTTAAATTTCAAGCAGGTGCTAATATAGTTAGCAGCGCCGGTTCCCAGAACACTTTAGAGCCACGTAAATCGCATACAAAACAACGCAGGTAAACCAGATTTTGACAACGGATAGCCTACAATACTATGTAACTTGAAACAGGGTAAATTGGACCGTGTCCCAAACCATTTTTCAGATATTACACGAAAACCCGTTTAAAAAGTCTAAAAAGTTCCCTAGCGATTTTCATGAAATTGCAGGGTGTACTGTTTTTAAGAGGAACTCGGGCGAATATTTCAATAGACTTAGCTGATAATCACGTAAAACACACGTTTTATCCTTATTCTTGCCATTTCAATCTTTTAAACTAATTGTAACACCTTATAAAAAGTGCGGGTACCCATGCGAGATGAGATGAAACTGCAACAAAGGAACCTTAGCTCGGAATGCGGCCCCGCTTTGCGTGCGTCCAGGACGTTTTGGTTTTTCATGTGTCAGCTAGAATGGAACGGTGTCTTTCAAATTTCACTGATATACTTCTGAACGCCTATTTAGTCTTTGTAACAATTTCCCTGGTGACGTCGTCGTGGTTTTTCACTGAGTAATAAGTAACTAAGTTACTAAGTAACTGTGGAAAATATCAATAGTGACACGTACGATATCATGCCTAACGCCGAGAACCACAACCCGTTTTTCGAAACACTGTGCTTATCAAATAGCTTTGCTTAACACAAGGAAAGTTGACTACAACAGAATCATTCATGGCAGACAGTGTTTCTAATATTTTGTTTGTAATCAAGCCTTACAACAGCACAAAGATTTTGTTGCACACAAATTCACACACACACGAACGCACGCAAAATTACCACACACACATTCACAAATAAACACGCACAGCAAAAACTTTTTCATGCAACAGGTGTCATTCACTTTGACGACTAATGCATTATTCAAACATTTAAACATGTTTACCTCAATACTTCCTTACAGAGTGTCCGAAACACAACCAACCCACTGTTACCTACTGCTACTTTATATGCAATAGAATATTTGAGGTAAAAAAAAACATAACTGAGCGCTGTGCTTTCATGTTTAATCAGTAATGCCTCGGGTGCAACCAATATTCTTCTTTCCAGGTCACCCTGTGTGTGTACATTGACTATTAGAATACAAGAATACATGTAACAGTAATACTTATAGGATGTCCATTGAATGCAATTCGCTTCCTTTATCATCTTGGTTATGTAATTTGTTATTGCATAGTTATAGAAATACATGTGTGGGTACAGCTTTGTGAAGACAATAGTCCATGAAAAACATAGTGCGTGTGTAGCTTGTAAGATACACAAAATGGCAGTTTACATGCTATATAGGATCTTAACTTTACTACTATCTCTACAATACCCCTCAAAAAAGGAGTATGTTTTCCAAAGCATCTGAATTTAATAGAGCTATTGCCAAAGAATTGCAAATACCATGAAGTACAGAAATTTCTGGCTCTAGATCTCTAAAAGTGTAAACTTCCGGTAGCTGTCTGACATTACTACAGACACACCATTTCACTTCATCTAAAACCAAGACTTGGTTGGTGTTAATAAATAACTCCCACAAGCAAAAGAATGTAATTCTGTGAAGCATTATAAGTTTTTTTTGTCCACAGTCAGTGTGTTGTCTTACATAGGTATGTTCGACATGGCCTGCCTGGGTGTAATTCTGTCAGCACCTGGGGCAACAACACAAAAAAATATTTCAGTTGTGATGGACATGATTCTGGCAAAGGTTGGCTTCAGAAATTAGAACAGACACTGCATTTCCTTGCTCTTAGAACAGACACCCACACACCGACATGTTCAGACAGACACACAAACTGACATGTTCAGACACACACACACACACACACACACACACACACACACACCGACATGTTCTGGCACAAGTATACACATGCACATGTAACGGTTACACACACACACACACACACACACACAGACGCACACACACGCACACACACACGTAATGTCACCAGGCACACACACACACACACACGTGCACACACACACACACACACACACACACACACACACACACACACACACACACACACACACACACACACAAACACACACACACACACGTGCACCACACACACACGTACACACACGTAATGTCACCAGGCCAAGAAATGCGTTGAAAAGTAAAAAAGGTAAAGTAGTAAAAGGGAAGATACATAAACTGAGTTGGTACTACATGTACCATCCCCTCCATTTTAGAAAGGAATGTGTATCAATCCCATGCTCTAAGTTCCATATGGGTGACCCTTTGTAGATATGGATAGTTAGATAGATACTGGTGGATAGGTACTATACTAGACAGATAGATTGCTGTATCAGATAGATATTACCTATAAATAGCCTATCAATATGAAGAATAAGAGAAGCAGTCCTTCTAAACTGCATTCTATTGCTGCCACTGCAAGATTGTATTCAGTGAAGGGCAATTTTGAATACTCTGGATGAGCAAATTGACTTTATACAGAGATAATGTCCTTGGGATGAGTAATAGGAATATAGTGGTGAGTGGCTTGCATAAAAATTTATCGGGGTAAGAGATTTATTTGTGTGGTGTGTGTGTGAAGGGGGGCTGATTTGCTACCCCCCCCCCAAACAAATTATTCCGCGGCCCCAGACTGTGCCCAACATCGCACTTGAACAATCGAGGATGCCGATTGGCTACTAAGAAAGTGTGAACTACGCGAGGAGAGCCACGCGGTTTGCGGCCGCATAATTTGCCCAGATCGTTCTTGCTATTCAGCGTTGGGTGCTTACATAATTTTACTAGCAGTATTCAACGAAGGACGCTTTTTACCAACGATGTCAGACTTTTCAGCGGAGGAAACGCATGATCGTGACCCTAACGTAGCTGACTCAATGGAACTGGAATCTTCGAGTTCGACACGTTTCAACAGCGGTCACACGGATCATTCCACAGTACCAGACCATGCCGCAAAGTAAGTTTCTGCACATAGTTAATTTTGTTTTCTGTTGATTTGCGCGGCGGGCTAAAAACTTAAAAGATTTGCGGCCTGAAATCCAGCCTTATTAAGCTACAGGTTCGTTTACCAAAATTCGCTACGAAGCGGCCTATAACTAACAAAGCTGAAATTATTTGACAGGCTGAATAATCAATAATTTCCGACAGATGACATAATTTTTTATGTTAAAAACTCTTTACAATTTAGCAACCGATTTCACTCAGAAACCGACACCAACAGAGCGACATGAACGTTCTAACTTTACCCATTCATCATCGAGCGTAAATAACGCCATGATAACGTCTTATATACATAATTTGTAGTTGTTGTTGTTGTTTTGCTGTAGTACAGTACTTAGTGCCCTACCGGGCCTTGGCGACCTGTCTCTGTGTGGTCAAAGATCCGAAAAGTTACTGTATAACATTAAATCTCCAAGTCCAAGCAGATTCAGTGGGGCAAGGCGACTTTATGTTAGCCGCCTACCTGTATTCCACTGGCCGCTTGTATCCAACGTTTGCCCCACGATACAGGCGGCTAACATAAGTTCCCTGCCCCACCGAATCTGCTTGGAGATTCACCGTGGGAGATTAGACTTCTGCCTCCTAAAGCTATCCAGCTGGGCGGTGTAAACGCCGTGGACCAGCAACTCTATTTCACACTTTATTCCCAGATTCTGCTCATTTGTACTGTTTATTCAATATTAGCACGATGCCTGGATGTGGGTGAAATTTTTACTATGGGCCAATTTACCACGGAGGTCTGTTTTTTTTCTACCTCCATGGCCATACACACACAAAAACAACACGCCAAAAAGCCTGAAAAGGACACTACCTCATTGGAATTTGGAGCCATTGAGTAGATAGGCCATGTCACTGTTATTAATTTATGTAAATTTGTTGCCGGGGTCGGACCTTTAGACGGCAATTAGCACCAGGCTGGCAACATGACTTGGACATAAAGAACCAGATTTAAATTTGTAAGGAGACGCGCTGTCGCGTCAACATCAGAGATAAGACACTTTTACCAAGAAGGCAACATTTACATACGTACATGGCGCGCGGGCGCGCGCGTGTCTGTCTGTCTGTCTTTCTGTGTGTGTGTTAGACACTTTTACCAAGAATGTGACATAGACATATAATTTTACATGGCGCGCGCGAACGTGTGTATGTGTCTGTGTGCGTCTCTCTGAGACTGTGTCTAAAGCCTATCTCTGTGTGTGCAGTCTCCTTCTAACTCCATGTACTCTCCAAGCAGAGGTATGGGTTTTGGGGGTATTTTTCGCGTGTTTTTAGGCTTTTTTTATCGGGGTTTCTCTTTTGCACTGAACTTTTTTACAAGGTTTGGTGGAAAAAAAATTCAGTGCAAAAGACAAACCCCGATAAAAAAAGCCTAAAAACACGCTAAAAATGCCTCCAAAACCCATACCTCTGCTTGGAGAGTAACTCCATGCTCTGTCTTAGACTCTGCCTGTCTGCGTGTGCGCCTGTTCCTGTGTTCCTCACAGTGTGTGTGCGTGTGTCTGTTCCTCTGCGTGCTTTATAACATATAATAATAATAAGATTGAATTGTGAAACATAACCAGTCTTTAGAACTTAACAGTCATGTATGATAAATGGGGAAATGACTAAAGAGGCTGACAAAAACCAAGCAGCTTATAGGAATTGCCAAAACCTATTCTCGAAGCAGAGGTTTTTTTTTATCAGGGAGGCAAGAATAGCTGGGCATTTAATACATTTTAACGCTGCTTGGAGAATAACCAAAATCCTGGTCTGATGCACACCCCCAGACCAAGCAAGGAGGTTCAAGAACTCCTCGCTATTGCAACTTTTCTTGTGAAATGATTATGTGGCCTTGTGTGAATGATACCAAACTGAATAATAACTAGTCTAGAGTTGCACAACCCAATAAGGCTCAATTTCAAACCGATGCCTTCGTCAAATACCAGATGCAAATTCCAAGTTTTGGGGTAGGAAATCCCTTTTTTTGCCATGAAGGGCTTAGGCCAAATCAAATAAATGAATTATATCCTATACAGACAGGGGTCTCCCAAGAAATTTCTAGGGTATAGGTGATCCCTAATTGGTTTATATCACCAAACAATACTAGTAATACATTAGTGAATATTCATGAAAATACCAAGAGAAAACCCTAACTTTGAACATTTTGGGAGAGGTGCTAGGGTTTATGGGAGAGGGGGAACAACCTTGCTGCATTGCTTGGGGAGAGCCCTGAGATGCCAAATTCAATGCCACCAGGGGGACCAAAATGATAATCTACTAGTATTCATGTGATTGTCCAACTCTCATCAAGACCTTTTTCTTCTTGGCTTGGCTTCCCTATCGAAGATCAACCAAATACTAGTACATGATTCACCCTGCCATACTTGAGTTATATTGTGCGCACACATACATATGCATGGTAATCCTTTGCAATCGAGAAACACTGTTACTAGTGTTAGTGTTAGAAGATGAAGATGACACACAAATAGTCATACACACCAGTACAACCTTCCTGAGGAATGTAATTGTATAAATACCAACTTATGTGAATATATGTTGAACTTCATCTTCTTAAAGTGGAAAGGATTTTTTACATTTAACTGTTACCATTCAGAGCTGATTTTGAATTGATTTTCATTTCTTCTTGACAGGAGACGGAAAACAGTCTTTTCTCCAGAGGAATTGGAGATTCTCAATGAGCTGTGGGGCAAAGGGATGAAGCAGTATGGGACACCAGAGTCCAAGAGACTGCTGGAGCAGGCGGTGACTTACACAGGGAAGGATGTAGGGACGATAAAGGTTAGTGCTCCTTAGATAACTGTAAACATACATGGCAATTAAAATGAGTGTACAGGGTACACATCGACCAGAGCTTGAGTTGTACATTTTTTTTGTGAAAAAAATGATGATAATGAAGAATTTGAACAGTATCGAAAAAAAAATGTATGAACTCTGGGTTCCATTTTCAGAGATGGATAGATAATAAGAAGGGGTCAACACGGAAGACTGTAGGAGGCAAGAAACAGCAGAAACAGCAGAAACCAACAATGCGGCAAAGGACTGCTCATAATATCTTTTTGAGCCAGAGGTTGTCAGGTGGGTCTGCAATTTACTGCACATACTTAAGATAAATGGCTGATTGGTAATGTTTTTAAACAACACAGTTAATATTGTTGGTTGAAAAATAATGACTGTACTGTCCACACAAGAACAGCAAATTTGATTGCACTGCTGCACACTGCTTTGTTCTCTCAAACTTCAGTATGGCAAAGTACAGTGCACCACTCACTCAGAAAGACTTAGATAATGGAGAGGAAGGATCATATGGAGATCATGTACTAGTACCAGTAAGAAACAAGGTATACAACAAGATGTCACTAACATAGACTGTCATGCGAGAAAATTAATGTTGACAGAAGAAAGTTACCACAATGATGTTGGAACTAAACTTAAGTTTAAGTTTTTTTGTCACTTCCTACTTACATTTCATTTACCTCCAATTGGTTGATATCATTGCAGAGGGAATACCACTGCCCCAGGCCCACCTGGAATACAAGACATTGAAGAGGGAAAATGGAGATGCGCTACGGCTCCTGCAAGCTGAGGCAAAGCAGGCCAAGGCTATTACAATCCAAGAACTGTCTGACAAAGACAAGAGGCTGCAAGCTCAGACACTCATCAAGAACTTGAAAGAAATGGTCAGTAGGTTCGAATTCTTGTACACAGCAAATCTCTTAAAAAATAAAATTTGAAAAAAAAAGTAATGCTGGTGGTGTCAGCAACATGTATCAATATAAGTTTGGTTGTGCCAATTTTTTTCTTCCTAATCTAGAGAAAAGATACCATGTTCTACAATAGGTATATTTCACTGATGTCCATAACATTATTTAAAATAAATCAACATGGCCTGAAGTAAAATGATTATATGACATTTCAGGCGTGCAAGTTTAAGGAGTGCGGCCTGGAGATGGCGGTTTTGCTGTTTCACAAAGAAGACGGGGTGTCTGTCATCGGGACACCAAAAGGGAGGGACTTCCTGAAAGACCAGGACGAGAAGTCGGCCCTGTCACTTCAATTCGTGAAAGCTGTGAATGGTAAATTTTTTTCTGAAACCTTTTGTTAAAAAATCAATCTTTTGAAAGAGCCTTTCTGATAATGTGCATTTTTGTCAAAAATTTATGTGAAACTATTTCATTATATCTTTCAAATACATGCTTCTTAAGAACATGCTTGTACATGTGTATACATATATCAAATATATAATGAAACATTCTGTGTATTCTTACAGCCCAAAAGGTATATGTTGTATGGCAAAAAAACATCAATAATTTCCACTTATTATATACATCTACTAAATTCTATATTAGACCTTAGGCCACAGCAATTAAATTTTATGGATGACATAAGCATGCCCAAGACAACTTCCCAAAGCTGGTCAACATGACAAGAAAGTACCAAAATGGGAAAATATGTAGCCACGACAGTAGTTCTACATCAGATTCTGTATATGTGAAACTAGTTTGATAGTTGTAAATAGCACCAGTGTGAAATCCTTTGAATGTAGTTGCCAACTTGGTAAGTCATACCAGTCTATCACACTAGTGTCATTTTACATAGTGCCACATAGTGTCTATTTTAAAACTATAGCCATCTTGTTTATTTTGCAAAAATTCCATCCATAAGATTTACTCACTGTGGCCTTGATGATAAACAAGATCATCAACTGAGACTATTGTTTATGCATCCTTTTTCAGATGGAAATGTCCCATCCACGGCCTCTGCTTCCAGCAAAAGCCAACTGGCAAAGGAAGTCAGAAGCATGCTGAACGAGAAGTATGGTAGGTACACTTCCTTATATTAAGACAGACTAGACAGTAGCACTTTTGCCAAAAGTCCATGATTATGTGAGCCATTCATTTCAATAACACCAAAAGTTTTGGTGTTATTGAAATGGCTCACATAATCATGGACTGGAAAACGGTATATACATTTGTAATTCCACTTACACAAGTGCTTGTTTCTCATATGCAAGATGACAGTTGTGAGTACTATATAATTATAATCATAATTATAGATATGTAATATTATAAATGATTTTTGCCTGAGCAGATATTTATTATAAAAATTTTTCATTCATTTCCTCATAGTCACTAAACTTTTTTCTTTCCAACACTACATACTGGTACATCTCAATCTGCCACTTGCTAGTTTGATATTACTAGTCTTCAATATCACATCTGATTCAATATCAGAGCGTACATTTTGTAACAAGCAACATGACTGATTTCCAGTGGCTGCTGGCAACAAAGGGAAATTTCCCTACAAGACCTACAGTGCTGAGGAAGGAGGCATCACCGTGCACGGGCTGCCGGAGGGGACCTCTGTTCGCCACATCGCCTCACTTGGGAAGGAAGGCCTTCAGAGGATCCTTCAAGAACAGGATAAAATAACAGTAGAAGGTAAGTTATTTAAGATATTGATCAGTATATCTACTGCACATTATAGCAAGGTCTTATTACAGATACATGTAATTCTATGTACTAGAGCTAGAGATAACTTCAACCTTAAAAAGTCTAACATTCTTTCTACATTGCATACTTTGTAATGGATAGGACTCCATGTAGATGATTCCATCAAGACACATTGTTATATTAGAAACACTTTAAATCATGCAATCATGATCATTCGCTGTCCCTGGTAGGCGGGTTAAAAATGCAAAAAGTCACCAGATCAAAGCTTTTCACTATCAGTATTATGAGAATGTATAACTTTTCAGTTCACAGCACACCTGCAAACAGCACATCCACTGCTGGGACATCCTCGACCACAGGTGCAACCAGTACGAGCAGTGAACCAGCTCCTCAGACCCCGGCTGCTGTACCCAACCCATCATCCCCTGGTGCAAGCAGCACATCTGCAAGAAGAGCTACCGGTATGTGTTACAAAAGTACTCATATCACTTGACAAGGCAATAGAATCTGACAAATTATACACTGTAAAA